CATAAATACATACATACATATAGTCAGTACCTTTTATGTCAGTGATACTTTGGTGGAATGGCCAATGGCTAATATTTAACTTTATCACCAATATCGGCTGATACCGATACCATGCTAATAAAATAGTGGATCCCTAATAAAAAGTATTCCTGTGATGAACAGAAACAACATATGTAAACAATAAAATATATGTACAAATATTGGCCCAGCACTCTTTGAAGGAATGCATATCACCTTTTCATAGAGTTTTAATTTAATATGATCTTATGTTAAAATGTGGTAGAGTCTGTGCTGTTTTGGACAAAGCTTGGTGAAAACATTATGCACACATAATGCTCAAGATGTCTTGCTCTGAATATGTGTTGTCAATTATTCTCAGCTACTATCAGATCAATTTTTAGCTCAGTATCTTTAAAACTTGACTGAGTTACAGACATTTTTGTGTTGACTAATGTTGAATAGGTGTGATGGCCATCTTGATTTGTGTTAATCAGTTGTAACTGTACGTTCAGTGATTACTCTTCTTCTTTCAACTGTTCCCTCCTCAGGGGTCAAAATAGTGAGTCATCCTCCATCCCATTCTGACCTCTGCATTCTCTATACTCACTCCATCTACCTCCATGTCCTCTATAACTGCCATCAACATCTACTGTTGGAACTGACGTAGCACTCATTAGTAGCGCACCGTCTCCTTCAACCTGAGACCCCTGCCCCCCCCCCAAACATAAATCACAGAAGAGATGAGCGCCCTGCCATGGAAAGTAACCTAGGGGAAACACTGAACTGCATCCTTAAATCTCCTCTTTGGCCCCCCTCGTTGACTTTTTCCTGGCAGCTGCATTTCTAACATCCTTCTACCAATATACCTACTGTCCCTCCTCTGGACATGTCCAAACCATCTCAGTCTGGTCTCTCTAACTTTATCTCTCAGTTGTTCAACCTGTGATGTACCTCTGATGATCTCATTCCTAATCTTATCCATCCTTGCTATTCCTAAGGAGAACCTCAGCATCTTCATTTCTGCCACTTCCAGTTCTTTCTCCTGTCTTTTTGTCAATGCCACTGTCACCAGACCATACAACATAGCTGGCTGGTCTCACAACTGTCTTGTATACCTTTCTTTTGACCTTTGCTGCCACTTTTTTGTTGCAAATCACTCCTGAAAATTTTTTCCATCCACTCCATCCAACCTAGACTCTTTTTTCATCTCTTTACCACATTCCCCATTTTCCTGGACAGTGGACTCCAAGTACTTGAAGTCCGGCACCTTTGTGACCAATGCACCTTGTAGCCTCACTGTTCCACCTGCCTCCCTCTCATTTACACACATACTCTGTCTTACTACGGCTTACTTTCATTCCTCTGCATACCTCCACCTCTTTAAGTTCTCTTCCACCTGTTCCCTGTTCTCACTACAGAACACAATGTAATTTGCAAACATCATAGTTCATGGGGATTTCTGCCTGACCTCATGTATTAGTCGGTCCATCACCAGAGCAAACAAGAAGGGGCTCAGAGCTGATCCTTGATGTAATCCCACCTCCACCTTGAAGCTATCTGTCACTCCTGCAGCACATCTCACCACTGTTCTGCTGTCCTCATACATGTCCTGTACCAGTCAAACTTCTCTGCCACTCCAGATTTTCTCATGCAATACCACACCTCCTCCCTTGGCACCCTGTCATATGCTATTTCTAAAACCACAAAGATACAATGGAGTTCTTTCTGACCATCTTTGTACTTCTCCATCAACATCCTCAATGCAAAGATGGCATCTGTGGTGCTCTTTCTTAGCATGAAACCATACTGCTGCTCACAGTCACCTCTCGTCTAAGTCTTGCTTCCACAACTCTCTCCCAGATCTTCATCGTGTGACTCATCAACTTAATTCCCCTGTAGTTGCTACAACTCTGTACATCATCCTTGTTCTTAAAAATGGGCACCAGCACACTTCTTCATTCCTCAGGCATTTTCTCACCCTCAAATATGCCATTGAATATTTGAGTCAAAAACCTCACTGCCATCTCTCCAAGACATTTCCAAACCTCCACTTGTGTTTCTAAAAGTAGAATGGGCAGAAGATCTTTCAGTTATCAGGCTCCTCTCTTATGAAACTAACTTCCAGATTCTGTTTGTAGGGCTGACACATTGTACAGTTTTAAGACTGGGCTTAAGACTTTCCTTTTTGATAAATCCTATAATTAGGGTTGGCTTGTCATGTTGTTTTAAGCTTAGACAACTGGAGGACAAATTGACCTCATTTCCTTAAATGAATTGTTAAAATTGAATAGTTTTCATATTATACTATTTCTATATTAACATGTGAATCTTGACCTGCCATTGTGTATCTGTTCTGACCAAACCCAGCCGGTAGAAGCAGATGTCCGCTTGTCCTGAGCCTGGCTCTGCTAAAGGTTTCTTCCTCATGAGGGAGTTTTTCCTTTCCACTGTCGCCTTCATGCTTGCTCAAGATGAGAGTTCTGCGATGGAGTTAAACTCAAAGCAGTCTGCTCCTCAGACAAATAGTGTTAAATTATTTTTTTTTATACATGAATGCTTCTGTTAACTTATTTTTATATATGAATGTTTTTGTTCAGTGCCCTGAGATGACTTCTGTTGTGACTTGGCGCTATATAAATTAACTGAATTGAATTGAATTGAGAGCTTTTTGAACTTCGCCCTCACTAATCTTTTCTACTTCCTGGTCCACAGCTTCTATGACCTCTATTCTCAATTTCATTCTCTTCATTCATTAACTCCTCAAAGTACTCCTTCCATCTTCCATCACACTCTCCTCACTTGTTAGAACATTACCGTTCCTATTTTTAACAATTCTAACCTGTTGCACATCCTTACAAGCCTGATCCCTCTGTCTTGCCAGTCGGTATAGCTTCCTGCAGTTCATGACAATTCCAAAAACAGGTTTCCTTATCTTTTCTCTGGCCAGATGACAAACCAAGTACCTTCCTACCTGTCTCTCTAATTACTGTTACTGTGGTAGCTCAGTCATCTGGAAGCGCTTTCTTCCACCCAGAGCCTTTAACAGCTCCTTTCTTAACTCCTCACAACATTCTTTCTTCCTCAGCTTCCACCATTTGGTTTTCTTCTCTGATTTTTCTCTTCTTCCCAATAACAGTCATTCTACACACAACCATCTGATGCTGTCTGGCCATGCTCTCCCCTGCCACAACCTTACAGTCCCCAATCTGCCTCAGGTTTCCTCTTCTACACAAAATGTAGTCGACCTGCCTACTCCTTCCTCCACTCTTATAGGTCACTCTATGTTCCTCCCGCTTTTGGAAATAGGTGTTGACTACAGCCCTTTCCATTCTCTTGGCACAATCCACCACTATCTTTCCTGGTTTCTTTCCTTGACACCACACCTACCCATCCCTTCCTCATCCCCTCTGTTTCCTTCACCAACATGTCCATTCAGGTTTGCTTTGATCACCACTCATTCATTCCTAGGAATACTTTCTATCACTTCATCCAGATCCTTCCAATTTTTTTTCTCCTCTATTTCACATCCAACTTGTGAAGCATACTGTATAACTACTGACATTTAACATCAGACCTTTTACTTCTGTCTTCAGACCCTGACAATCTTTTCACCTCTACTACATTATTTGCCAACTCCTTCTTCAAGACCACCCCTACTCCATTTTTCTTTCTGTCCACACCATGGTAAAACAGTTTGAACCCTGCTCCAATGCTGTGAGCCTTGCTGCCATTCCACTTGGTCTCTTGGACACATTAAATATCTACCTTCCTTCTCTGCAGCATGTCAGCCAGCTTTCTACCTTTGCCTGTCATTGTCTCCACATTTAGAGCTGCAACCCTCATTTCTACAATCTTGACTTTCCTCTTCTCCCTCTGTCTCCTGACACGTTTCTTTCCTTGTGGTCTTAGACTAACCGAAGCACAATTTCCACCGGCACCCTGTTTGTCAACAGCACTGGTGGTGGACGTTGTTAACCTGGGTTTTCAGATTACTCTCTGCTAGTTTCATTAAAATCTGTCCAGTGATTCATGAAATATTTTGCTAACAAACAGACACATGAACAGATGCACACAGAAACAGGCAAAAACGCTCACCTTTCAGCAGCGAGTAATACATATGGGTAGTGCCACATTTTGTTGTGTAATAACGAAATTACTTACAGTGAAGGGTCCCAGGTATGCCACATATCCTGCAGACAGAAGCACATCTCCAGCTAAATTATTAATCCTAGAGTCAAGACGTTGTACTGTTTCCCTCCAACACACTTCTTCCTTAGCCAGTCCATCGATCAACTAGAGATCAATAATTTATGTTACAAACAAACCATGAAAACTTAAAAAGGAAGAATAAAAAATATATAAATGTCAAAACAGGCCCTTTTACTTGGAGAAGCAGTTATCTGTTACTTTACATCTATGAATTTAGTAACAGTTTTCATATTTATATTTTATTTATTTATTTTTAATAATGCATACATGTCTCATTTTGAAAATTATAAGATTTATACAAAGACATTATACAGTTTTGCTGCTTTTTGCTCAACTATTGACTATTACTACTTCACAACTTTTTGAATGTGTTTAAACATTTGCTGACATATTAAACATTTTTTCTTAAAATGAATACAGTCCTAATTTTAACCCTCCTTCTCACCCTGTTTGCTTTGAAGAGGCGAGCCTCTAACAGTTGATACTTCTTGTCCAGCTCTTCCTTCTTAGCCTGGCAGTCCTGCAACTTGGTCTGTAAATGGGCAGTGCTGCTTTTTGCATCCTTTAGTGATTTTTTGGCATCATCAAGCATCTGTTGGTTGGCTTTTATGTCTTTTTGGGCTTCCTGAATTGTTTGCTACAAAATTATACCCAAGTTCAACAGTTTTATTTTCCTTTAAAAACATATTTACATATATATAAAACTATACTTAGCATAAATAATAAAAGAGACTATTTGGAACAGGAATTTGAGTTTTTACTTGTTTTGGATTCACAGCTTTGACCACAAAGTGATATGAGTGCATAGCTCGCACCCACTGACAAATGGAGCTGCAGACTTTGGAAACCTTGGCTATAGAGGTTGGCTGAAATTCTTCATTGTCAATATAGGGCTGGACTGAACTGATTACATCATCTGGTATCTTGTCCTGCATTTTGGATACCACAATAAACAGGTTTTTTTTTAAAACAACTTACATACATCAAACAGAAAACAATCAAACATGCATTAAATATGGATATGAAAAGTATGTCACAGCTTAGACTACTTTACTGCTCTGGTTAATACAAGTCTTAAATTTATATATGTGCTCTATAACCTTTACCATATAATTTCATACCATAGAACACACTGAGTATGTGCCCTACCTTATCATACTTTTTGAGGCTCTCCAAAAATTTCCTAGGATCTTTTAAAAGATCCTTCGCAGGCTCCAAGTAATCATTAAAGCTGGTGCCAGGCTTCTCTCCAGGTACTTTAGTTGGTTCAATGCCCTTCAAAATGCAAAGTGCCTCAAGCACAAGCTTTACCTCATGGGGAGGTTGCTGCATTTCCTGTATCTATGAAATCAAATAATTCAGATTATAACAAAGTTGTCTTCCACTTACATTCCAAGCTGTCTGCATTATGACTATTTAAATAGTTTAATTAGTCATCATGAAAAATCACCTCTGTAATTCTGGAGATGAGAGGGTTCAGGCTGGTGAGGGCAGTATTTAAAGTTGTCAAAGCCTCGTTTATGTCCTTCTGAATACTTGCAGCAATGGTGTTTATAAAACGTTGTTTTTCTAAAGCTTTGGCTTCCAGCTCTTGCACTGATTTATGGAGATTATCTGTAACCCCTGTGCTTCTCTGTTAACAGATTATCAGTTATACTCATTGTGTATTTTGTATACATATCAGTGTCAGTGTGGCTACTCGCTTACTTGAATTGTCTTCATGGTTTCTTCAACATCCTTAGCAGCCTTCTCCAAAGTGGTTCTCAACTTCTCTTGCTCCTCTTTCATCTTACTCACTTTCTCAGTTGTGCTAAAAAGCTGCAGAATAGTTGTTCAGTATTCATACAGTTGTTTATACCAAATCAGTGCTAATTAAATATACTGGTACATATGTTTTACGAAAAGATATTATTGTTGTCCCATCCTTGCCTTATTGAGAGCAGTTTTAAGGTTCTGAGAAGCACTGCAAAGCTTCTGTTTTTTGTGACCAATGAGATCTGAGAAAACTTTGAGAAATTCTTTGTAGCTCCAGGGAGTGACGTAGTTATGTCGAGATAGCTCTGCTTGGAATTGCTCACTCTTCTTAGCCACTGTTAGGTGAATTTTCACACACGCCAGTGTCTGTAGAAACAAATTAAATAGGATTGTGATTCTTGAAATGCACAATAATATTTTTGTTGTTGTCTGTTTCTAGTCATCCCATGTTTTCTGTTTAATTATGAAAGAATCAAAAACATTTTTCAAAAATTTAGCTTTAATAAAAAACACTTTGTTCCAATGCTGTGATCGGCAAAGAATAACTAAATCCTGTTATTCAGGTGAATATTATTTTTGATTTATTCCACCTATTCAGTTCAGTTATGGGTCCACTTAAATTTTGTTTCTAGCTAAAAAAAAAGTGGTGCTCTGACGCAGCAGGAAGTTTTATTGTTTTGGTGGCAACATCTTAACAACACATTATTTCTCTTTAAACTGCTTGGTTTTTTAAAAAAACAAGCACATTTTTTTAGTTTTCTTATCTGTTTTTTCATTTTTGTAGTTTTAACTTTCATCACCATAACCTTCTTACAAGGAACATTTATTCTCATATTTTAATAGATTCATAAGTTTTCTCATAAGATATGTTAAACTGGACATTTGCTGCAGCTACAAGTACAAGTATTTTCCCAATAGTCCCAGAGCTATTGACAAAAAATAAACTAAATAAAAAAGCAAAAAATAAAATAAAATAGCAAAAATAAACCCTAAAAAAAAAAAAACAACACCCACATTTATTACAGTCAGACTATCAGAAATAATATAAGATATACTATGTTGAGCATATGATAAATTATTTGATAAATAATTGGACATATTATGATATATGATATACAGTATATGATATATGATTTTATGTGTATGATTTAATATGATAGGATACATGATATCTGTGTATAATATACTAAATATTATGGTATTATTTGATGTAATATGAGAAGATTACAGTAACAAATGGATAAGACAGTGTCATCACAGTCACAGTTTGAATAATAGCTGCAACACAAGAGGAGCAGAAAAGGTTGCATCTAAGAATATACAATAGCAATTGACTGCCATCTACTCTGTCAATGATAAAAAATCTGAGGGTTTTACATCTGCTGCAAACAATAAAAAGCTGCATGACAGCACAGTTTGAGCTGATTTAATTTTGTGATATAAGTCGCACTATGCAAACGACTGGTACAACACGTTACATGCAACACATTCTGATATATTATATTTTCTGTCAAATAAGTTGTTTTTTTTTCATAGATTTGTCATCCTGCAACTTATACGCTGAAGCGATTTATATATTTATTTTTCCATATTCATAACGCAATTTTTGACTGACGTTTTAAAATTCTAAGAACTGCAACAGCGAGTCCTCCCGTGCACGCTCGCTTCACTCAGGTGGGGTAGGCGCAGGAATGATGGTGAGCTACAATCTCCAGCCGCAATGGATGAGTGGATGGATGGATGGATGGATGGATGGATGGATGGATGGATGGATGGATGGATGGATGGATGGATGGATGGATGGATGGATGGATGGATGGATGGATGGATAGATAGATGGATGGATGGATAGATGGTGCCACGCCGCCCAGGAGAAATGAAGCTGTTTTGACCAGTAAAGTGCATTTATTAAGGAAAAGTTCAACTGAGACACACCTTTGCTATAATGTCGAGCAAACAAATAATTGTTTTTAAGTGTTAATCTTGTTAAATTTCTAAGAATTGGAACAGCGAGTCCTCCTGTGCACGCTCGCTTCACTCAGGTGGTGTAGGCGCAGGAATGCTGGTGAGCTATAATCTCCAGCCGCGATGGATGAGTGGATGGATGGATGGATGGTGCCACGCCGCCCAAGAGAAATGAAGCTGTTTTGACCATTAAAGTGCATTTATTAAGGAAAAGTTCAACTGAGACACACTTTTGCTATAATGTCGAGCAAACAAATAATTGTTTTTAAGTGTTAATTTTGTTAAAGTCCTAAGAACTGCAACAATGAGTCCTCCCGTGCGCGTTCGCTTCACTCAGCTGGTGCAGGAAGAGGAACGCTGGAGAGCTAGCGACTCTGGCCGCGATGGATGGATGAATGGATAGATGGATGGATGGTGTTGCGCCACCCAGGCAAAATGAAGCTGTTTTGACCGTTAAATAAAAACATAATAAACGCGACAGGTCAGCGGTGATGCATAATAAATGTGACTTATACGCCGAAGTGACTTAAATATTTATTTTCCTCTTCATGATGCTTTTTTTGATGCAACTTATACTCCAGAGTGACTTATACGCCGGAAAATATGGTAACTTGAAAATATTCAGTAAAAATTTAAATAATTTGAACAGGTTGTTGGACTTGCTGTTTTGGGTAACCTGCATATCATTAAGACTTGAATAAAACTTTTATGACAACAAATTGAATCCTCACCAGTGTAGTCATGGTCCTGGGACTGGCTGCCTGCTCAGGCAGTTCAGTTAAAAATGAAGTAGCCACAGCTAGCAGAGCCTCCTCTGACCAGACACTGAACCAGTCAATTGTACAACATGTTACCAGTGAAGGAAATTGTCTCAGCCGTGCACGAAATGTTTCCCCATTAGGGCTAAATAAATAAAAAAGAGAAAAATGACACTGAAAATATTGACAAAGCCAAACCACAGAATAAGAAAAACTTAAATGTTGTTTAAACTAACCTCATGCAGAGTACAATATGAAGATTGCTGTGGACTCTCCTGGTATATGCAGCCATAAGACTTGTTTCTGTTGTCTGTTGGCCCTCATGCTGTGCTACTGTCCTCATTGCTGCAAAAATCTGCTCCTGTTCATCTACTGAATACAGGCTGGGAACACCTCCGCTCAGCAAAATGTGATTTATATCCTCCAGAAATGACTCAGTCTTAATCTGATGGTTGAACGGTAAACAATTAATAGAGATACAAAGTTTGTTTTCTCAGTCATCCAGGTATATAACAACAAAAAAGGTTGAATCATGTCATATACCTGGATGACTGAGAAAACAAACTTTGTGTTTTTGAAATCATTAGTGAAAAGGCCAGACTTCAGGGGTATCTGAGGCAGGCTTGAAACACAAGAGTCAGGGTGGCTTCTGGGTAATACCAGATGGCTAGGCCTCAGACTGACGAAGCCTCTTGGATGAGG